AATTTTTTTGGAAGGAAAACCGTAAACCCTAAACCCTAAACCCTAAACCCTAAACCCTAAACCCCAAACCCTAAACCCTAAACCCTAAACCCTAAACCCTAAACCCTAAACCCTAAACCCTAAACCCTAAACCCTAAACCCTAAACCCTAAACCCTAAACCCTAAACCCTAAACCCTAAACCCTAAACCCTAAACCCTAAACCCTAAACCCTAAACCCTAAACCCTAAACCCTAAACCCTAAATGGTGAACAGTAACCCTATATAGTGAACAGTAAACCATAAACCCTAAATGGTGAACAGTAACTCTCTATCGTGAACAGTAAACGCGAAACCCCTATACCCTAAATGGTGAACAGTAAATCATATACCCTAAAGCCTAAACCCTATATAGTGAACAGTATACCCTATACCCTAAAGCCTAAGTAGTGAACAGTTACCCTAAACAGTGAATAGTAAACTGATGAACTGTAAACAGAGAACAGTAATCCTATAACATATTAACAGTGAAACTGAATAACAGTATATTCTAAATAAACACAATATGTTTAGTGAGTAAACAATGAATTGGATTTTATCATTGTTCTACTCATATGCAACCTCAATCTTCTGACGTTATAAGCACACTCTCTTTTTCTACTTTAAATAAGAGCAAGATTTCCCCGTTTTCATCGTTTATTTGTCATATAAAATCCACCATTTACCTCTAACGTATGAGAAATTAATATTCAAATTACATCAATATTCAAATTACATCTAGATCTAGATCAAGTACTTGGCATGATCAAGTACTTGGCATGTCTACCCACCTCTACTCTTTCGGGAAAATATTTCATGTGCCTTCTGTTCACGATAGATGAACTATCAAACATCACCTTGGGCCTGGTCAGCTTTCAGCCACGAAACCTTTGTAGTCTCTTTGTCGTCGCATGAATCGAAGTAATTCTTCTCTAATGTTAGAAATATGACCACCGTGATGCGTTGTCTTGCGTCTCCTTCCAACAATAGAATCACAATCTCCGTTGTTGTCTTAATGTCTTGTGAAGTTTCTTCAAATCATCGGGGACTACATTTGATTCTCCCTAGAATGTAGTGAATACAACCCAAATGGTACAGATCAAGAAATTCCTTGCTTTAAAAGAAAGACGAAGTATAAGAGAGAGGGAGCATCGAGAGAGAGAAAAGAATACAAACAAAATATAGTATGTTCCTGGCATCAAATGTTTATGAAGTTCCAATGATGTCCCAACAAAGGGTTAATGGTTTTATCCTTGTACAAAGAAATGATGAGACATGAGTAAAATCCACCTTCATCTTTCACTTTCAGTTTGAGGGCTCCGGCTCCACTACTGGTGGTATGCAATCCACTTTATATCGAAGAGTCTTTGACAGAGGAAAGAAAAGACCCAAATGAATAAGATATTCACATTAATGAAAGCAATGGAAAAATGGGATGACAAAGGATACTAAAATTCACTTTTTTCAGCCGCAAGATGTTCACCCTACCTTTTTAAAGAAAGTTGAATATGAATTATCCCAAACAAGTTTGTAGTTTCCAGCCATTAGGGTAGAGAAGTTGCCCTGCAAAAAATAACCACAGAGATTCCCCAACACGATTACCTTAGACAACACAGCAACAGCAACAACAAAAAGTACCCCAAAAGCTTCCCCACAAAATGCACATGGGCACTCTCACCTGGTCAGCTTCAAACCGACGATAAGGTAAGATCAGCTGAAATAAGAAAAAATTCATTATCAAGCCCTCAGAAATTCACTTGATTGAATGGATATCTTATAGAGTGAGAAATTATATATCTATATATATATATAAAATACGTAAAGTATAACTACAGTATGGAAACTAATGACCAGACTCACCGTCTTTTCCCCTGATGCATTTATATACTCCACGCTAAATCCAATATCCTGGGAAATAACAACAGAAATATAAACGGAGGACAAACCACAAGAGTTGAGAACCTAACTTAGGTCCCATCCCATGTCTAGAAACAACAATTTTTTTTTTTCACATGAAAGATTATCACAGGACAATAATACGCTGTAAACTAAGTGCAAAAACATAGATAACCAGAGTCTTCCGAAAACAGTAACAGACATAACTTTATTGTAGAGACAGTGTGATTTTCTCTACATGCAATCCAAAACAATTATCATATCTCATAAAAGAACAAACAAGACATCCGTGATTCCAGAAAAAATCAGACGAGGGAAGCAAAACCGAGCAAGAAAAGGCAATCAAATGATTTAAGGTAACATATTAGGGAAACATATCGCGGGTTCAAACATCAATACCATGCTTATCTTTCCTTGCATCAAGGAGAAATCCCAAGCAATATATGAATTTTCTGATTCCACCATCAATGAGACCTAGAGAAACAACAAGAACAAAACATCAAAACTCACACCAGACTCGAACACAATTACTTAACATCACTTTACACTTTTAGAACACAGCAATTCCAGATGGACCTAGTGTAAAGAAGAAAGCAAAACTTTCAGTTTAATTAATAAACAAAAGCATCTGAGGAGAACATATTACCTCATAGGTTCTCCCAGCTTGGACAATTATCTCCTTGTACTCCTCATTGTCCCTAAGAAGTGCAAACTCTTAGAGCTAGAAATTGTAAACTGAAGTTAGAATCTTGTGAATGATGGAAGCTAACCTTGGGCCCAATATGCCAGCTGTATCTGCTGAAATGAAGAAGGGGGAATTGGCAAATACATCGCTGGAAAACACAAAGTAAAATGTTAATGTTCTTCAATAGTGAGAAAGCATGCCTAAAGACGTCCAACCTAAGTAATGTTGGAACTGTGGATAAAAAAAATTTAAACAAAACCGAAAAAAAACTGAAAAAAATAATACAAACAATGAATTAGAAAGAATGTCTAATACTGTATTAGATTTATCTCTTAAGATTAACGGGGATGCCTTTGCATGCGAGCAACAATCTTAACAGATCAAAAATAGATTAGGAGACAAGGAAAACAATGGAGAACAAACCTAACAAAATAGACATAAACGTAGTTGTCCTTAATTCTTAGAGAAATGTTCCAAAAGTGAAACTTTCCCCAATGTTGTGTTATCCAGAACATCAGTAGCAACCTATAATAGAAAGAACATATATCTACCCACGACCATGCCCATATATAAAAAGATGGTACCTGATAAATGTGACGAATCTTTCAAACTCAGATGTGTACACTATAGCAGCTTCCGACAGGAGATTCATTTGGTCTCTACTCCTGTTCATCGCACATATTATAAAACTTCATTACCTCTAAATGGGAAAGTTCATTGAGCACTTCAAGCTCGATGATTATTGACTTGTGTTCATTTAAGGAAACTTACATTAACAAACAATAAACCAAAACAAGGAAAATATTATCCAACTATCTTACAGTTTGAAGGTATCATATCTTTCCCACATAAGTGTTAGCAAAACCCGAATTGCCATCACCATTTTTGTGAGACTGTATAGAGGGGGTCCATAACGTTCACGCTGTTCTTCCATTGGCCTTCACACGAAAACAATAATTCTGTCAGTTAAAGTTTCTTATGCAGCCTGAAACTTCTGCCACAAATAAGCAAAGACTCATGTCTAATTAAAGTGAGACCAAGATACATACCCATCGTCATCATTTATTTGTCGAATAAAATCCAACAGCACCTACAAGGTATGAGAGGAGAAGTATCAATAACAAATCAATCGTCTATATGAATGAGGATACAGGAATGGACAAGCCATATGGCATATGAACATAAGTATGAGGACTATTGGCGTATTAGAATAAGAAAATTAAACATAAAGAAGCAAGAAGGTATCGATGGTGAAGAGAATGCGTTAAAAATATTTGCCAAATAGAGTAGAGACATACCTGTGGAACCCCTACCAAGTACTTGACCAGGGTTTTGTAGACACCAGTGGCAGAGCCTAGCTGAGCCAACTGTCTCCTCCTATATGAAATTCAATGAATGCATAATCCAGACTCTATGAAGAAACCAGAAGAAAAGCATCAATAAAGAAATCAGAAACAGGCAGGCTCACCTCTCCATTTGCTGCTTCCAAAGAAGAGCATATATGTGGCGTATGCTCCCTCCAGAACTAACCAATGCATCAACCTCCGCCTGTCTGTTCCTCTCCGACCTCTCCTTCTGCTGTCTGATAAGTGTTCCCCGGAAATCTTGAGGCATGTAGGTCATAACTGCAGAATAGTTAATAATACTCGTGTGAGGCCTGTTTCATTTCTAGGTATAACAGTGTCTGCGAAAAATTAAACCTGTGCTGAATATGCGCTCTGAATTCTTCGTCTGGAAGGAAATCATAGCAGTGAATGCGTTATCAAAATTGTCTTTCAGGTTTTGCAAAATAGAAGCGAAATCAGCATCTTCTGATGTGGAAGGTTCCCGAAGCTGCACGGAAAACCAATACAAACAAACAAGAGAGAAGTCAACTCACCAGAGAGTCAACATAGTCCGGACACAAAACGAAACTAAGATTCACCTGAATAGGCCAGCGAGATGGTTGCAGAAGAAACAATATCTCCTCCATCTGCTCCCGATTTTTCCACATATTCTCATCAATTTTGTGAGGGGGCTGACGGTTTGCTTCGTCAATCAGTGAAGTTACCCCTAGCAAGCAAACCCCTTATAAACATTTTATCAAGAAATTCAAAAGCAACAAATTGAGAAGCTAAAAATTGGTCATAGTATCGGATCGGGAACCTTGGGAAGGGGGAGATTGAACGGTTAGTAGCTGAATAAGAGAAGCGATGTCAGAGGAAAGCCGAGAAACGTCGTCGGAGAGAGGAGTGAAAGGATATTTTTCGTAGTATGAAGCCAGAAAAGCCCGGGTTATAGGCACAAGGCCTTCGGTTGACGCCATTTTCAAATTATCTGAGCGATCTACTTACTCACACACACAAACAAAGCTCCATGCCACCGCCAAGCCACGCTAATTCTCTCTATATGCCGGCGAAGAGAAGACTAATTGAAAATGAACGCTGAACAGATTGGACGACGTATTTTCTCTTCGCAAACGCTTTGGATCCGGCTTATATAAAGCCCACTGGGCCTTTATTTAAGCCCACTTATCCTTTTATTTACTAATGTGGAAGAGGTCTGTCGTCGTCGTTGTTTAATGTTTGATGAATTATGTATATGATTGATTAAACGAAGAGTGCACAGAAAATCTGTGATTCTAGTTATACGCATCATGTTGGTAGAAGAAAGAATAAAGTTAAGTGGAGCAGGAAGTACAATGGCATGACTTGGGAACAAAGGCGCAAACGCCAAAGGGCTTATTGGGAAGTTGGCAATTGATGCCGAAACAGCAAGGCATGGTGGCACAAGTGGTGGAGGAACAGCATTTGCACTCCAAGCACAACTCCAATGGCGTCAACAGCTTTCTCCTCCACACTCTGTACTCCATTCCTACCTCCACTGGCCACATTTCTTCTCCATTTAGCCCAGCCCCGTCTCCTGCACAGGTCCCCACTTGAGATCCGATCTACAACTACAACTTTTTAACCATTAACAAAGGAAACAACGTGTATATACATATTCACCTTGGCCATGGGTCGTAACCAGAAACGTCGCAAGCAAACCTAACAAAACCACACTATGCAATTGCAACCTAGACTCCATACTTCTTCTCGGTCGCTAGAAAGATTAGGCGATACCAAGATCTGTGTGGTGGATAAAAAGAGAGAGGATTTAGTGGGGTCACTCCTCCAGATCCCTACAAGTCAAATCATGCACAGCGAAGGCAACATCTATTTCCAATCATGATTCCAATCACATGTGTATTATGAATTAGCGTCATAAGTCAACTGTTCATCGCTATGTTATCTTTCTCTTCACCCAGTTAGTACAATACGCACAATGCCAAACCATTCATGGTGGCGGAAAGTCCCACTTGTCAGAAAACCATTACTGCTTACACACAAAAAATTCACATTCAAGTTAATAAAGTGTCTGCTACTACAAGCACACTTCATCAGAGTGCCTAATAAACGAGAACAACGCTCAATCATAATCATACAAGACTTGAACAGATCAAGAAATTAAAGTGGCAATAAACAGCAGCATCAACAACAAACAACAAAAACAACGTGCATCCACGATTTTTAGCAACCAGATGTTTGGCTCTGACTGAAATTATGCAAAAGGAGACACAGCGAAACTGATTATGTACACTTGACACTAATCACCGAACCCTGCATGCTGCAGGTCCACCCGGTGAACAATTTGGATTGGGTGACCTGCAAATCGCACCAGGCCCAACGTTCTTTGCAAACCTCCTGTGCATTCTGTAATCAGGCACCCCTCCCATTGCAAATGCAGCTCCAGCTGCAGTTGTTGCACCAGGAATCAGGGCATCACCTGTACACTGCAAAGGTTCCAAAGTTTCAACCACATCGCTCATCAATGGCCTAGCTTTCGGGTTCTGGCTAAGACAATAATAAGCCAAGCTGCATGCTTTCTGAGCTGCCCTGACAGAGTATTGGTTCTCCAGTCTTGGGTCGATTATTTGCAGCAGTTTTCTTTTATCATTCAGCTTCGGCCGAGCCCAATCAACCAAGTTCTGCTCTTTGCTAGGTCTTGTCTTGTCCACTGATTTTCTTCCCGTCAACATCTCTAGAAGAACAACTCCAAAGCTGTACACATCACTTCTAGCCGTCAGGTGTCCTAGTTCATTAGTAATAGAGTCCAATTAGTGTTTTTATTTGTGTAATGGTTTAAGGCATTAAGCACCTAATTCATGCAAAAGAGAGACTATTGTTGCTCAAAATAGTTTTGTGAACGCATATGCATATGATTCAACATCTCAATAGCCACAATCCTATATGTTATATAGTAGCAAACTACTAAAATCATATATGTAGAAGTAGCTCCTGCAAGTCTTTCTTTCTGCATGTGCATTGACTTGCAGCAGAAATATAAACCCACATTCAGTGCCCTGACTTGCAGCAGAATTAGAGACCCACATTCAGTTAACAACTAAATCGGTTTAACGGTAGGACCCATATAAACAGTTGATCATCGCTCCAGGCATAGACTGAGTGAAACTAAGACATTGCAGGAGCTACTTCGTCAAGATTGTATATGAATTTAGGAAGAAAAAAAAAGTTGAAAGGGAGACATCTTGCTATATCATGCATGTCATACCGGTCATCACATATTCTGGTGCAGCATAGCCATAAGTGCCCATTACTCGAGTTGATACATGAGTTTCATCACCCTGGGGCCCAGCTTTAGCTAAGCCAAAATCTGAAAGCTTGGCTGTGTAGTCCTGCAGGTTCAGCCCAAGCAACGAGACATTAGTTTTGAAAGGTATTCCCAGCATCTTGGAGAAGCTTTTGCAGAGTTGAAAGAAATGATAATCTAGTTACCGAGTCAAGCAGTATATTAGAAGTCTTGAAATCCCTATAAATGACCGGTCTTTCAGCATTGTGGAGGAAAGCAAGGCCTTTAGCAGCGCCAAGGGAAATCATCATCCTTCTAGACCAAGATAGGGGAGCTGTGGTTTCTGAAGAAAAGCCATGGTGATTTGGTTAAGTACAGACGAGAATGGCCAGGCTTAAAAAGCGGAATAAGATACAAACAAAAAATGTGCAACTCTCGGGGTATATGCAGGAATCAGCAGAGACTTGTAATAATAGTTGTGTGGTTTGTCAATCGCAGAGTAAAATAAAAATGGAGAAAGGTACGGGGATTACTTCGAAAAAGGTGATTCTCAAGGCTGCCTCGCAGCATGAATTCATAAACAAGCAATCGGTGATCGTCCTCGCAGCAGTAACCAATAAGCTTGACGAGGTTGGGATGACGGAGTTGGCCGAGGAAGTTGACCTCGGTAAGCCATTCACGGTGGCCCTGGAGGCCCTCCTTATTGAGAACCTTGACGGCAACAGGTAGAGACTTGAGGCCGACGCGGAGATTGTCATCAATGTAGCCCTTGTAGACGGTTCCGAAGCCGCCTTCTCCGAGTATATAATCTGGGCGGAAGCTCTTAGTGATGGTCTCAAGCTCAAATAAAGTGAAGGGGATGACTTGGGCATACGAAAGAGGAGTGCGAGCGTCTTCCCGGAAGCGAGGAGTGGATGGATCGCTCAGATCTGAGACAGAGCGGGAGTGCTTCTTCTGGAGCTGTTGGGCTGCAAGGCGAACCAGAGAGAAGAGAGATCAGGTAAAAAGAAAAGGCGAACGAGAGATATAGAGAGAGATAGAAGAAGAGAGAGAGACCTTGAGCTTGAGGAGTGAAGACGGCAGCCTCGTCTCTAGTACCGCAGTTGCCCATTGTCAGCAGGTAGACGGAAGTGGAAAGGATCTCATTCTCAATCACAAAGCTGCGCACCACCAAACCGATTACCGATTTAAAACCCTAATTGCAATCGGCGAAGACAGCGAAGCTCTTTCCTCACCGCACCACTGGGACTGGGAAGTGCTCTTCTCTGTTGTGCCTTTTACAGTTTACAGGAGGAATTAAGTTTGACAGTCCGCTCCATGTTGCCGGAACCAATTGGGCTTTACAATTCTTTATAATATAGGCTTTATTAGTGGGCCTGCTTAGGCCTCGTAGATACAAGGCCGATTATATCCTTCAGAAAAACGAACAAAGAAAAAAATTGAATTGCTCCTCGACACCCACTACATCTCTCTATTTATAATCAAGAAATCACAGAGTATGCTATATTGCTCGTAGGATGTGCTACTGCTTGTGACTGATCTCAATTACTTTTTCGTTTAACTTTAAATTACGTGTGGAGTATTTTAATTTTTTGTATTAAATTAGAGGTGATATGTAGATACTAATGGTGGATGGATGTGTTTCATGCGAGATGTATCGACTTCTTACTTCTACACTATCCAAATACATATACACTACAAAAAAAAGGTCAAAATTTAAAACGTAAACTGTAAACTGTAAGATGGGAACCAAACAAGAATCATATACTGTAGCCTGTAGGTGCTTTATAGGTTCTCGAGGCCAAAAAACTTAGTATACTTGGGAGTTAGACCATTTTTAATGTAGGTGTCTTAGAACAAGATTTTGTTTAAGAGAATATCTTATCTTAGAAAGTAGGCTCACTTCTCCACTACTCTATCCCTATATTAGTAAAAGAGAAGTACAAAAAGTGTTTCCGTGTCGGGTCATTTTCAAAAAATTACCCGAAATTTGTAATTGGATATTTTAAAATTGGATAGATTAATGGGTTTGGATACATACACCGGATACTTTCCAAATCTAATTTTAGGATTGTATTATTTCCATAACTAATTATAAGATTTACTAATATTTCTCTAACTAATTTAATACAATCTATTTAAAAAATATTATTCTTCTTTCACTTTTATTTGATATTATTTTTAATTTATGATATTATACTATACTAGGGCTGTCAGCCCGTGCGTTGCCGCACGGGGAAATGAAAACTTAAAATAATTAACATTACTAAATAACTTTTTCGAGTGGAAAATTGATTATAATTTTCTAACTGTATATATTTTTATTTAATTTACGAATTTATTTTCTTTACCTTTTCTATATTATGATATATTAGATTTGTGAGACTCAAAAAACTTTCTTACAATTTTATCTTTATCCCTCAAATGATATTTTCCGTTGGTATCGCTGCATTTTAATACTGATGATCCTAGAGAGTCATAAGAATTCAATATTTATGAATGGCCATTTCTTACTCTTAACGTACCCCTTCTTTTGATTTATTTCAAAAACAAAGCTGTCAACGCAATTATGAAATGAAATTCTAGTTAATGCTCTTAAAAGCATATCAAAGATTCATGCCTTTTCCTTTTACAAAATCTAAGAAAATTTTTGGATACAAAGCTCAACTATTTCTAGCATAATACATGTTTCAATCACCAACGAAACATTAGTCCCATTAAACTAATGAGACAACTCTACAGATTCAACCAAATTCAACATAACATTATAGGAACATAAGCAATACCTAAAGAAACATCAATGAGAAAGAATATGTTTCAATTTAAGAAAAAAAAGTTTTACAATGACAAATTATTGTCAATTAGATTTAAAAGAACATATATTTGGTGTTTTGGTGAGGCATCTACATATGACACTACTTTTCATTGGACAAAGATCAACATGAAGCAACTTATGCTCTTATCAAAATATGAGCTATAAATTTAAGGGCGATCTTGCTTCAAATTACATTTCACAAATCACAGTATATATTAGAATCATATCCAATTGTATCTACAGATAGAATTCAACTA